TACAACTTTTGAGAAATGGTGTTTAAATCAGAACAAAGCAGAAAACCTTACCCATGTGTTGTACAAACCAAAATAAACTAATGTGATGGAACGAACCCTGAGCATGTCCCCATGTTCAATGCTTAGATACAGGGAGGCCAGGTGCAGCTGAAAGCACTTATATCAATCATATACTGATGAAGTCATTGCTCTGTGGATTGCTAATATGACATGCATGCAAAAGTATCGAAGTTGGCACATGGTGACAGGGTTAGTTTGAACTGCGTGTCAGGAGGAAGAAATGTTTCTTCATTGAAGGTAATTCAACTTAGAATGCTGCAATATCTCACAATAAGTCACGGGACACTTGAATCATCATGCAAAATTTGAACTAACACCGTGTTCTTGAGTTTTCATAGTTTTGTGTCTTCAGGTGGGTCAGGATGAAGCTGAATGAGCAGCAAAGATTTTGTAGCTTATAAACAATAAAAAAAGATGGAGCCCTGAAGGCCAGCTATATGGATGTGTCTTTTCTTGATGACCGTGTCTCCTTTCCCCCTCCTTTAATACAGCTTTCAATATGCTGCATGGTATAGCTTTCTCTCCCTCTCACTCACAGTGGCTGCGCCCCACCCCTCCTCCTCCTCAGAGGAATGAAGTATTTGTTTGGACAGACTGTGAGATCACAGTTGCTGAGGGTGGGTGCAGCTATCCAGACCACATAGTGGGACATTACACTGCTTTTTAATTATATTGCACTACACAATGTGCATTAGTATGGATCTGAACATGTCTCATAGCGTGCACTGCATGTGCTATAACTGCAGGGGTTTGCAGAACAGGAGCGGGTTAATTCATCATGAAACAGTAAATATGACAGATGGAGCTCAGAGGGCAGCCTCCTACATAACGAATGGGAAACTTTCCACTAAGTGAATCCAAGTGAGAATGCCAGAAGGTGCACTTGTCTCAGTATGTGGCCACCACAATCAAATTACATATCAGATCCCATGTCATATGTTGGTTCATTTCTCCGTAAGAAAAACAGCTTTGCTCTCAGATGGACCACCATGCATCTTTGTGGTTCTCTTACCGGCTTAAAGGGTGTTATGAGCCCACGGGATCATGGGATCGTCATGATCAAGGGATATTTTTAAAAGCCATTCAAAATACTATATAACCTACTGTTCTTGCATAATGTACATGTATGTAGCTTCTGGTCCCCCTTTGTTAAAACTGTTAAGAGGTCCTCCTGTGCAATATTTATCAACTGATCCTTTGACAATACAGTCATGAAAAATGTACAAATCCAGATTAAGAGCAATCAGTTAGCATTCCAATCCTCAGCAGCTCACGCATGTTCATGGATGTTGCTTACATGCCTGCAGCTACTTCACAGTAAAAAAAGCCTCTAAGGCCTGAGGAGTCTAAAGAAGTAGAAGAGAGGAGGGAGGTTGTGCTTGCCTGTGAGACTACTTCATGATGTATGAGCAGCTTTTGTCTTTGTAGTCACCCTACTGTAGTATATTTTTCAGCGTTGTGATTTATTCATTAGATAATATACAATATAATAGAACATTTAATAAAAAGGATAAGTAATACTGGGATTTGTTTAAGTGTGTGTTTTGAAACTACACCGTAATGAAGAGCACGGTCATCTTCTGGTCAGTGCAGTCAATATGAGTGAGTGATGATAAAACCCTTGGTAGTTTTGACCTTCAGCTATCTGAAAGAGCTCCCCTGGCTCCCTCATCACACTCTACACAACCTCTGTCTCTGCCTTTCAACACCAGCTTATAAAGAAAGAGGCATCACACCGACAGCACACACAAACATACACACAGAAGGAAATACATTACAACGCGAGACACAAGCAACTAGCTCAGCACTTACACTGTGTATGTAGCTACAGCTGAATGGTACTATTAATTAAGCAGTACACTTGCTTTGTTGCATCATGTATGGCAGAAAAGGGGAGATTCCTAGGCTATGTGTGCTGCTACAAGTAGACTAAGCCCACAGTGAAACCTTGACACCTCATTCTTTCACATCCTTTATTGTCGCATTAACCCTCTCCCAGGAAGCACACCCTTTTCCAACAGATTCATCAACTATAGCCCCATCCAGGCATCACACTGACCTCCGGGAACTGACCAGTGAGGCCATGTTGACTCACTACCCTTTGTCTTTGATGAGCTGTCCTTGCTGGTTGTGTCGTTGGCGCAAAACCAGAGGACCAACCCCTTGCCTGGAAGGCATGGTGTCAGGTTTTAATAAAACCCTATACTCACTGCCCAAACATTCAGATGATGTGAACCTGAATCTGAGAAATGTCACTGCCTTTAGTAGTTCCTTTCATGTGTTTTTGTCCTCTGTAAGGAACACATTTTTTTTGTGAATAACACTTTAAAGTTCAATGATATACATTTATGTCTTGCACACCTTGAAACATGTTGAGAAATTGAAGAATTCTAACACTTACTAAATGCAATACTGAATGCAAACTGGCTGAAAAGGGACTAGGTATAAACAGTATACTAAATGGCACAATGATGCAAAATAGAACGTATTTTAATATTTATGTGATTGGAAAGAGAATAATTGATGACAGTATGACTGCTGTCTTAATTGTGACTGGTGTGCACGTGAGTCCTTAGGTCACATATGATCAGTAAGGAGCCAGGCCAGCCTCAAAGCCCCTCACTTTCTCTTCTCCTCTCTAGCTGCCAATTTACTGACAGTAGACCTACTGCTGGCAGCTTTGTTGATGTAGAGGGACGAGTCAACAAATCAACGGCTTCCTATGCCAAACTCATCACACAACGCTCAAACTGTGCTGCACTGGCTCATCCACACAGACAGATATAGACAGGAGTTTGCACACATTTGTACATGCTTGCAGCACAAAAATATACATGCAGCTATACACGCCTGTGATTAACCTAATGGTTACACTTTAAAAACACAGGTTTGTCACTGATGTGTGTGTGTGTGTGTGTGTGTTTATTTATTTATCTTTACCAGAAGCTAACATGATACAGTCACTCAGTTCACGGCCAGCAGCTAGGGGGCTGCCTGATTTAATTTTTTTAAGGCTAAGAATAGACTTTTATAGGTTTACCCACACCAAAGCAAACACCAACACATTTTCACAACAACAACAGAGGCAGTCAGATCAGCCAGAGCCAGAGCAAACTGAATCAGCTACTACAAACAAGCAGGGTGATTCTTAAAGACAAATACAATGTACCTGTCTTTATGTTTATCAACGTGTTTTTAAAATAAAAAAATGAAGTACAGCGTGAAAACAAACTCCAGTTAGACTACAGGAACAGCAACAGCTTACTCCACAAAGCAACCCCTCTATAAATATGACATGAAACCGCTCACGTTTTACTAGCCAAGCCAAATGTTTGAAGAGAGCAACCAAGTACATTTTTTCCAAGGATTATAAATACTTACATACAAGTTTTTTAATGGAAAATCATGTATGCATGTACCATACAATTGCCAGTAGTGACAAAGGCTTGTGGCAGGCCTTAAAGGTAAAAACTGGGTAATATATTTGTCAAAAGAACTACAAGGGAGGGGGATTAATGTATTCAGACAGAGACACAATGGTTGCAATAAGTCATCCTGTCCTTCCAGAAAATGATGGCTTTATGGGCTTCCTGTCAACAAGCATGCCTTCCGAGAAGATACCGTATCAGTGAGTGCATGTATATGTGTATGTGTGTTATGACCGGTCATGGTCAATGACAAATAGCAATCATTTAAGTAGTGTGCTGTGTAAAGGTTATTTCTCCAAGACAAGGTCAAAAACATAAGGCCATCATAATCATCAGATTACAATGAACTTTACAAAATACGTAAAGGATGAGTTGCCTCTCATTTTCTGAAATATTATCAAAGACTCCGATGTGGTGAGGCAGTTAGGCCTAACCTTGAAGAATAGCCTGTGCTGTGTCACCTTTAGTGTGTGTATGTGTGTGTGATTAAGAGCAGGGGCCCCTCAGAGCACTAATGACAGCTGATGATAGGCTGAGAAGAACAGCTCTATGACTGATGAAAGCTGCTGCGGCACTGAAGCAGAGAGAGGGGTCAGATTGTGGCTGTGTGGACCACGGCACACAAAAGATAACACTAATGACAAAGCTATTTCACCATTCACATTCACACATGCTTGGCCAACACGCTGACGGCTAATATAAAAGTTGCACTGGAACGAAATACAACAAATATTTTCTAAATCAGCTTCTTAAGGGGGGTTGTTAAAATCCAACCTGATTAGACCCATATTAGCAGAGTTCTGACTTTGTAATGCTTAATAAGTAAAAAAAACAACTTTGTAGCTTATCATAGATATGACTATATGTAATGATAATGCGGAATAGTTTTAAACCTATTATTCTTAGGATGGTAGATTTGCCAGACTCTTCTCGTGTAGTGTGTGTTTATCTTAAACATTTTCTATCCTTTAAGTTGTTACAGTTCATGGGAAAGATCAATAAATCATATGCCATTATAGGTTATCCTATTCGTCCCTATAGTTTACGGGAGTGGGTGCCTGGAGGATGACATTAACCGTTACCATCTGGCCATTGTGGTCACTAAAATAGTTGGATCAGCAAAGAAATGCCATTGCTATGAATAAAGTCCCATTTTTATTAAATGGGCCATTTTGGATTGGCGCCTGAAGCAGTTTTATCCACCAACTACCAGCAGCAATTAATACCACAATAATGTAATCTCTCATGAGTGCAGTTAAACTTTTCAAACAGAGAAGCAGACACTCAAAGAATAAGATGCCAGAGTTCAAACTGTTCTAATGTCCGATACAGTTAAAAGGCTTAATACTTATTCTACTTTGTATTTTGGCTACCCAGAGAGCACTTTGCTTTAAAAGTGTACCATATAAAATACTTATTTGTGGACCCAAATTAGTTGGATCTACAACTATAATAAACCAGGGAATACTTGAGGCAGGTTGCAGGACAGCTGAAACTAGGCTGTGACCGATAATGGCCGACTCCATCAACTATGACTTCAAAGGCCAGCCGAGTCTCTACTGTATAGCCTCGGGCAGACTACTCATCAATCAGGAGACAGCACTGAGGTGGTGCTATACATGAAGTAGATAGCATCATACATCAAACAAACTCTGGAAATGCTACCCTCCTTTCTGGCTGCGTCAGAAAGCTATCTGGTTTTAGCCCACACACGGCCTCGCATGTGGAATGCTTATATACAAGTTTTTTTTTAAACTGTGAATTTCCATGATCATAATCAGTGCTACAATCTCACCTTAAAATCAACACACTGAACATATTGGTTTTAAACTCATATTACGAGTTGACCTGTAAAAAATAGGATTTGACACCTGCTGCCGCTGGACATAGTATGTGAAATATTCAATACTGGCATATCTTCCTTGATATGTTTTTATTCACTCATGCCAGTGCTGAATACTTTGGGAGTGTGAGAAGGGAGTATGTGCTACACCCAAAAAGTGGGTGAGAGCCAGGCGGGTCCTTCTCTAACCTGACAAGAGTTGGTTGGAGCTGATCCATCAAGACTTATCTGATGTTATAAACATATAAACTTCTGCAATGTTTGGCTGTCTGTGTGTGTCTGGTGAAGAGAACATGGTCAGTTTTAAATAGAAGAGACACGTAGTTGATTGGAGACACCAAGCTGTACACTTTAACCCCACTAATCTCTCTTCAAAATCATTACTAAGTAAAATACAGCCTTGCTTTATACTGTCCATACAGACAGCACTGTGTACAGTAGGTGTCAGCATACAGATCTCTGTTGATACAGCATACACAGTCAGCAGACACATCCTGTATGTATTACAAAGGACATGGCACCAGCGATCCGACACACCACACAGTCTTCAGCCTTCAGGCACAAAGAAAAGAAGCCTCCATGGTGAAATGCTGTAATTGCAGCTTAACTGCCCAACAAAAACAAACAATTTGGTCATATCCTGCAAAGATGCAAACAAACAAAGGAAGGGGATGAGGACTACACCATTACATATCCAATGCTGTCATTTCAAGCACGCAGAGGTGGAACCAGGTTTTGCAAGTCACAAGTAAGTCTCATGTTTGTGAAGTAAGTTTCAAGTCCTAAACAAGCTATAAAGGATCTTGCTACGATAAAATCCTGACAGTAACCTAAAGATAGTCTTTGGCTTAGGGAAAAATGAATGTTTGACTTAGTCATGTGACTTGAGTCCAAATCATGTGAATGAGCCCACACCTCTGCAACTACGACTTTCTAGTGACAGTAATACACACACATTCCACTCATACTTTTACATATATTAAAGTTAGATTAAATAAGATTAGGGGAAAATAAATGAAGTCGATAACGTATATGATTATTTTCTACAGATTTATGAAAGGAGCCAGATTGAACACAGACAGGAATGAAAGTGGACAAAAACTGTAGAGAATTGAGTCAAAGAGAGAGGGGGGGGGGAGACCAAACCGTGGAGAAACGGGAGGGAGAAGGGCAACGTCTGAGTGTAGGAGACCCAGGAATGTTAATCCTCTTTGTATGTCTCCCAGCAATGATTAAACTTTTCTAATATCAGGCATGACAAGAAAAAACAGGTCACATATGGGTCAGCTGTGGGATAAGAAGAACAAGACCAAAGCCAGTGGTTATTCTCACAGCAGAACAGCATGAAAATCACACAATGCAAAGCCACAAATAAGTCGGTGTAACAGCCTGCGGGGCATTCATGCACAGAAACAGAACCAGAGCCTGTTGTTAGTTAGCATGTCTCATTTTTACGCTGGACTGGGTGTACATCAGTGGTAAAGTGGACATGCATATTTGCACCCTAAATGAAAGCAAGCTACATTGAGCTGTAACATGCTGGCCTGGTTATCCATTCACCACAATAGTTCGAGCCACGTGACATATGAAATACATCATGCCTGTTGCTACTGTGTGAAAATGTCCAGAGAAGCTGGCAGGCTGAGTGCAGGAGTCACAGAGAACCACTTAGCGGCTATGCTAGGCTAATCACAGGTGAAAGGTCAGTGCCAAACTGTGTGTGCTTAACCCCTACACTTCCTGGAAACTCTTCTCTCTGGAGGAGGATGAAGAGAGGACGAGCGCACATTTTCCACAGCTCGGGAGTCCCTGAGGCTCTGGACACTGGACATACCCTTCTTTTTCGCTGCATTTTTTTCCTCCCAGTCTCTCTTTTCCCTGCTCTCACCACTTTCAATGAGCTGCATCATTACCAGCCGATTTAAACACAAGGCGGGCAAAGAGTTACACGGGGAAAGTGAGGGGGCAAGGGTGGGTTAAGGGGGGCATGTTTGTGTCTGTTACGCACTGGTGTCAGCAGGGAGACAGATTGGAGAAGTATTTCCTTGCCTGTCAGAGGAAAGACCCTCTCACAGGAGGGCTCAGACATCATAAATTATCTGTGATTCTTTCCATGCCCCTCTCTCTCTCGTCGCACTCTCTCCGAGCCCAAATTCTAGTCATAGTGTCGAAAACAATCTGATTCATAATTTCCCCTGAGTGCCTCTGTGAATTAGCCCCTCACACAGCTCAACAGGCCTCACTTTCACATGGTGTCTTTTCATCAGCTTTCTGTGGTCACACACGCAGTAACTTCCAAGCCCGTCTGGCACCCAGAGCACACACACACTCTGGACAATCTCCACTGATACTTCGTTAAGCTCTAACAGTGCCATTTATCTCTGGGATCCTGTCATGTATTACTATGCTAAGTATTATGTTCAAGTACTGTTTTACTGGGCCTTTATTGTAAAATACCAAAGACACCCATACACCAACTCAGGCGCTTTCACACGCTCTCACTTGGCTCTATATATATTCTTCAATCAGAAGCAGCAGAACCCTGATCATTAACATTCTTACATTGAAGGCCAGTTTTATCACTCCAACCACACAAGGCAATCGCTCCCTTTGAAGTCGGGTTATAGTCAGCATCAGCTCTCGTGCCAACCGTTTATCTGCAGGATGTCAAACTACTGCTAATCTACTGAGAGCTGTGAGAAGTTGCCACACGTGTCTCCCACCTAGCTACGCAATGGACCTTATCCAACAAGGAAGAGCAGAACTAATCCAGTCTGGTTGTTTGAGGGTGAGATAGCCACAGAGTGTCTGCTAAGTATCTGACAGACGGATTTACACCCTAACCTCTGGACCAGTTCACTCATCAGGTTATACGTTCTTTGGATTCTTTGCTGGATGGGGAAAACCCCCTGCACACAGCAGATATAATGTACAAGGGATGTTCACACATACTGAGACAAAATAAGATACTGAATAAAAACGTTATCTAAAAGAGATACATGGGTTTCAGCCAGTATTCATTTATCCTTTACATGACTGCCCTCTTCTGGTCTAAGTTTATTTAAACTAACTCTATAGTCCATATTTAAAATGTATAAATGAAAGAGGGAACATTTTAATTGTTATTTATTGTAATGCAAAAATAATTTAGGTATTCTGCATCCTACAAATCCTACCTTGCACTTTAGCTATCGGTTGTAACAGTGCACTGGTGCTCTGCATACATGTGCTGTTGCTCAACTCCCAACAGGAAATATTTGGAATTTTACATTTGTTTTCGTTCCTCTCTGATCTCAGTGGGCACATACAGTGGGGCAAAAAAGTATTTAGTCAGCCACCAATTGTGCAAGTTGTCCCACTTAAAAAGATGAGAGAGGCCTGTAATTGTCATCCTAGGTATACCTCAACTATGAGAGACAAAATGAGAAAGAAAAAAAATCCAGAAAATCACAGGATTGGGAGAATGTCATATGGTCAGATGAAACCAAAATAGAACTTTTTGGTAAAAACTCAACTAGACGTGTTTGGAGGAGAAAGAATGCTGAGTTGCATCCAAAGAACACCATACCTACTGTGAAACATGGGGGTGGAAACATCATGCTTTGGGGCTGTTTTTCTGCAAAGGGACCAGGACGACTGATCCATGTAAAGGAAAGAATGAATGGGGCCATGTATCGTGAGATTTTGAGTGACAACCTCCTTCCATCAGCAAGGGCATTGAAGATGAAACGTGGCTGGGTCTTTCAGCATGACAATGATCCCAAATACACCGCCCGGGCAATGAAGGAGTGGCTTCGTAAGAAGCATTTCAAGGTCCTGGAGTGGCCTAGCCAGTCTCCAGATCTCAACCCCATAGAAAATCTTTGGAGGGAGTTGAAAGTC